CATTACATTGTACGGCAAAATTGAACTGCTATGCTCCTTATCCAGTGGTAGCGTATAAAACTGTCCGTTCAACGGAGGTATAATGGCCAAAGGGTTAAAACGTATCGAAAGGGTTAAAATAATTATGTAAATGGCACGAACTCATTGGACGACCTAATAAAACAGAAAAACGAAATCTAAAATTTGACTTATGCACATGTTCTACGAAATGAAATCCGATCTAATCGATAGAACAGTCAGTTTAGAATTAATATTCCTAGGGAAACAGCTTGTAATCGAACGTTTCAAATAGGATAATTCATATTTGACTGGCAACGATTGTCAAAGTGTAATGGAATAACAGAAACGACTGCATCGTAGGAAAGATAAATACGAAGTGGTTGAACTGCAAACAGCTAGCTCCACCTTGGGCGGAGCAAGGGGACAGTGGCTTCGTGTAATTAGCCTTTGAACTGATCTCTGAAGACTAGTGTCTACCTTAGAGTTTCCAAAACTTGCACGAACACTGTAGGCATCGCTTTTCAAGGATTTCTTACTTGAAGAACAAGTGATGCATTCGTTTTCGAAGAGTTTTCGAGTTCTGTACGCGTTCGCCGTTCCGTTGAGTGATAATGCGGCGAATGAAGTGACAATTAGGGATTAACGAAGTGGACAATAGGAGTTGTTGGTAGATTAAAAGTGAATTTTGTTTGATTGCTTCGTGTGTTTTTTTAAATTAGTTTTATATCACTTCTCGTGAGAATGATTTTTCAGCTTTTCTATACTGGTTTCTTACTTGCGTTCAGTTTTTTATTGTTCAGAGTGTTCCATAAAGTCTGAAGGATTAAACATTGAAATCGTCAAAAAGTTGTGGGATCTCAATTCTACATATTATTAAAATTTGAGAATCTCTTTATTTCCAATGGAATACCTATTTTGAATAAACACTGAAATCGTCAAAAAAGGAATAAAATCCATGAGGTGCTTCTTTAGTAAATACCAAACTATGACAATTGTAGAATCTCGCTTTTGCACAATATTGAAGTTTCAGAATCTCTTTATTTCCAATGGAATACCTATTTTGAATAAACACTGAAATCGTCAAAAAAGGAATAAAATCCACGAGGTGCTTCTTTAGTAAATACCAAACTATGACAATTGTAGAATCTCGCTTTTGCACAATATTAAAGTTTGAGAATCTCTTTATATCCAATGGAATACCTATTTTGAATAAACACTGAAATCGTCAAAAAAGGAATAAAATCCACGAGGTGCTTCTTTAGTAAATACCAAACTATGACAATTGTAGAATCTCGCTTTTGCACAATATTAAAGTTTGAGAATCTCTTTATATCCAATGGAATATCTATTTTGAATGAATACTGAAATCATCGAAAAGAAATCAAGTCCAATAGGTGTTTCTTTAGTAGATACCAAACTAATTGTAGAATCTCACTTCTAAGAATTATTGAAATTTCAGAATCTCTTTATTTCCAATGGAATACCTATTTTGAATAAACACTGAAATCGTTAAAAAAGGAATAAAATCTATGAGGTGCTTCTTTAGTAAATACCAAACTATGACAATTATAGAATCTCGCTTTTGCACAATATTAAAGTTTGAGAATCTCTTTATTTCCAATGCAATACCTATTCTTATTAAACACTGAAATCCTAAAAAAAGATATCAAATCCAAGAGTTCATCTTCAAACTTCCACCCTAACCTACCCTACAATTAAAAATTTTGAGATCACACGTTACTTCATACTCGCTAATCAGTATTTAACCAAAATCTCAATTGTCAAATAATCTTCAAATCAAACACCTCACCACATATACACAAAGTCACAAAGTACAGTACAAGACCAAGCAATTCCCCAAATCATTTTTATTTTGCACAATAGAGCAGGTGTCTATCTACTTCAGAGGCAATTTTCCACCAATTCCTGTAAACCCTAAGTCCTTCACACGGCAGCTTACCGTCAGACAAGAGTGATCAAGCAAAGAAGACGACATCATCCACCCTGACACCCTGCATGAAACATTTCACGTGGCCGTAACGCACGCCCATGTTCGCGACGTGGCAGCCACAAAGCCAACCTCTCCTCCCAGAAGACGTATTCCAGAGCCAATCGTTGCAGCCTCATCAAGCATAGATAGGCCGCGGCGAACTTTAGCGCGGCTCTCTGCATAATGCATCGCGCAGCGTGTGGATTTTCCCTGTTGTAATCCGTGGGATGTAGCCTATCCAAAATTGAAATCACGCGACGTTCCCCCGACGGAAACCCGCCGATCTTCGGCCAAAAGTAGCGAGGTGCTCGGAGATACACGACTTTCGCGCGGATATTGACATTTTACGAGATGAAACGGCCGGTATTTTACGGTATCGACACCGAGAGAAATATCGGTGTTAACTCGCTGAATTTTTTTCGAGGAAATGGAATATTCCTCGGGCGAGGCGATTATGCGAGATTTTTTTAATATCGAGAGATTATTGAGGGTAACGGAGAAGTCTGGTGACAGACCGAAGAATGAAGATTAGCGAGCTGAGCTCTGTAGAGATTGATCGATCCTTGATCAGCTTTGATAGCTCACTGTTGATCTTTCCTGATATTTCAGGGATAATTATGATTCTGAGGAAATATTGTAGATAGGAGTAATGTGATTTCCTTTTTTTCTGAGCTGTAAGTATTTAACTTCTGTACTTAAGAGAGCTGTATCTTGAATTGCAAGTAGTATAAGTCAATGAATAGGTATATGGAACACGTACGAAGTATGTACTGTAGAGCAGATGTGCCTATTGTCTTACAGATATTATTTCTTCTTTCGTAAATTAACTCCTTTTGCATAAATTGTGAACAATATTTTGCAAATTTTTGTAACGATTTAACGTCTGCATACAATTGCAGTAATTTTTTTCTACAAAAGATTGCAGTTCCTGTATATTATAAATGATTGAATAATTTTCAATTTAGAGTATTTGTCAATGTACTATATTACTATTTTTCGTTTGTGTTTTTGAATGTATCATATTCAAGGAAATAATAATAAATTAGTATTCTGCATTACATACATATATGGCTGTATTAAATGTGTGTTCGTGTATTTCAGCATATGCTATACTTACTGGTAAAAGTTGCTGCAAAACAGTGTTTGAAATTGCAGCAAAATATGAGTCATGTTTTGATTATAAGAAGTCATTAAAAATATATTTTTACCCATTTCCTACTTCCTCTTGTTCTCTGAATAGAACCAGTGTGATGCACACTGCATATTTTTGCAAAGCGTGGAACACACTGCATATTATTGTGAATGGGAAAATATACATCGCGTTGTACATATAACCTCATTTATGAAAATTAAACATTAAATTTTGGATCTCGACAACTGAACGTAAAGTACAGAACACAAGGTAGTGATGCTCTCGTATAGTATATCGTGTTTTCATTTACAATTCAGGCTACCACGTACTTATGAAAAAAAATTTACCCTCGTTTTGATAACGTGTTACGTTAAATAATGCAAAATATCGATGAAATTTATCGCTATATTACGAGAATATGTACAATTCACCATTCAATTTTCCTTAACTTAAATTATCCTTTACTTAAACTTTCCTTAAGTTAAATTTTCTTTAACTTAAATTTCCCCTAATTAAAATTTTCCTTTACTTAAATTTCCCTTAATTTAAATTTTCCTTTACTCAAATTTCCCTCTATTGAAATTTTCATTAACTTCAATTTTCTTTAACTTAAATTTCCCCTAATTAAAATTTTCCTTTACTTAAATTTCCCTTAATTTAAATTTTCCTTTACTCAAATTTCCCTTAATTTAAATTTTCTTTTACTTAAATTTTCCTTTATTTAAATTTCCCTTAATTTGAATTCTCCTTCATTTAAATTTCCCTTCAGTGAAATTTTCTTTAACTTAAATTTTCCTTTACTTAAATTTTGCTTAACTTAAGTTTCCCTTAACTTAAATATCTAACTTTCGATTAATACTTTGGCAAGCCTAAATACATTCACAAATACATTAAAAAATTGAAAAACCACTGTAAATAATTACGCTGCAAATACCCTTTAATTAAAAAAAAAAAATACATTCACCCGTAACCTACAACAAGTAATCATCATAATTCCCTTACACTCTAGAAACGAAACTAATTATCTCGAATCGTTAATCGATCAGAGTGAAAGACAGAAGAAACACAACACCAGGTCGATTTCATTAGAAAGAAGATTGATGAAACGAGCGAAATGTTCTGTAGAAGAGCGAATCGCGAATTCGGATCAATGATCAGATTGAAGAAAACAAAAGATCCAGACAAGACGGCGTGACCGTTCCAATATCAAAAACCAAGGCTTTCCTTTCAACGTTAAACAACCCTCGTCGGTCTATACATTTCCATCGAGTGGTTGAAAAGTTTCCCAAATGAAATTTTCAACTTCTTCTAACCTTCCGTTACTTTTTCACCGCGGCAGACACAGTGGAAAAAAGCGATTCTCGCATTATCCAGAGAGAAAAAAAAAAACACGGAGAATACGTCGGAAACGTCGTCCGACGTGTTGCATCGACAATATTTCGTCTACTATAATAACGTTCGAAAGATCGTTGATTGATTCCGTTTTACATACTTTTCTGTCGTCCAGAAACGAAGCAAACACGGGACAGTCAGCGTTCAGTTAGCGATAGGTGATCAACGTAGTAGTAAATAGTAGCAGTAGTAGTAGTAGTAGTAGTAATAGTAGTAGTAGTAGTAGTATATCATAGAAACATAATCCGACTAAAATGAAACAGTCGCAAGACTCCAAGTGTATGTGTACATACATACATATACAAAGAGAGGCAGACGAAAATAAAGAGAGAATAGTAGAGATAGATAGATAGTAGAGATAAGAGTATACATATCGTGTGTGTGACAGTACGAAAGAACGAACGGAAGAAAAGAAACGAAAAGAACAAGGTGTATTGTCTGGCTGGTGTGACACTGGCAGGCAAGGCATGCTACGAGTTACGTTACCTAAAGTGAGCTTCTCCCCAGAATCTGGCGGCAGTGTGAAACCAAGTAGGGCCATGCTTGATATCAGCACACACGGCACGATCAGGTTGAAAAAATAGTAGAGGGTCCTCCTTCGGATTTGTATGGTGAATGTGACGTCGATGTACGGCTCTGGACAGCATTGATACGTTATCGTGTTCTTCTTCCGAATATCCATCGAACCGTGTTACCACGCATTGTCGATACCAAGGATACTGAATGGTCGCATTAACGACCGATCAGGGGAGGAGGGAGGGAGGAGATTCACAAACCACGGTGAACCGGTGGAGTCATGTTTCCGTGGTATGCAACGCTTTTGGATCACGCGTGAAAATGAGTTTAACGACTGTTGCACGTGATCATGGATTTGGGTATACACTGTACGAGTTTCTATATACGTACATGTGTGTTTAGGTATATGTGAGTCAGTTGGATATAATGATTTTGGGTTGGGTTTTTTTTGTTTGAGAATGGTAAGTTTCAGCGAGTATGAGAAATTATTTTTGAAATTTTAATGTGATGATTTGTGTTTATTTGAGTATGGAAGATAAGGATAAGAGATTATTTTTGAAATATTAATATGTAGAAACCGACGGAAAAATTTTGAGGGACCCAACCGGGAATCGAACCCGGGACCTTCGGCTTGGCAAGCCGAGGCTTTGCGCACTACGCCAACTACACCCTCTCTATTCTTCCTTTTCGGTTTCCTATTTGGGTATGGAGGCCCCGATATATAACAGCCATCCTGAACTGACATTCCCCGCCCTCGAATGTTCATCACTTCTCAACATTTCCGAGTGCACTCTCCCATCAACTCAGTGGCACTCAGCCGAACCTCTGTTTCTCAACTCATCTTGGGAAACATGCACACCCTCTCTCCTCTCACATGTTTTTTTGTTTTATTCATCGCCTAACTCCTTCTTGCCTTCGTGTAGCCGTAGATGCCTCCATTTTTGTAGGAACCAACGACGGAAAAATATTGAGGGACCCAACCGGGAATCGAACCCGGGACCTTCGGCTTAGCAAGCCGAGGCTTTGCGCGCTACGCCAACCACTCCCTCTGTATTCTCACTTGTCGGTTTCCTATTTGGGTATGGAGGCTACCGATACTACATAATAGAAAAGTTTGATAAGTAGGGATGTCGGGTCACCGATGACCCAGCTTTTAGATGTCTCTTAACTCTCCTCTCCTTATGTTACAAATATGTTTGTTACTTTAATCATAATGAATTTATGCAATTTTAAACAATATAGTGCCTAGTAAAACAGAAAAATGTGGTTTCTCTTGTACACCAAAGAGATTTCAGTATTGGGTCATACTTGACCCGGCATCCACCGTTCACAGTGTTCATAGATAGTAAAGAAAGTAAAATACGTTAATTAGGTGGCTTAATGGATTAAAAATAAGAAAATCTCCTCTCGAGAATATTTTTCAGTAAATTTACAAAGTTTGCTTTAGCGTTCAATAAGTACGGATCACTATGAAACAAGGCAAATAAACTATGCCAATTAGGAGGGTTAATAGGTTAAAAATAACAAAATCTCCCCTCGAAATTATTTCTAACAAAATTTCCAAAGTACGTTTCAATGTTCAACCGAGACCAGTCCATTCAAATCTACTTTTCAATCCATCTTTAAACTTTCTCTCACACGCGGCACGCCCCCTCCGAGTAATTTCGAATTACAAGTCCTACACAAAGTCGAGATATATACCAACGCGTTAGTTATAACAGAAGCAACCGCGAAAATACGAGCTCGGTGCGCCGTGATTTCGCTTTAACTACTTTTACATCTGCGTGTGATCTTACAGTGTCGTTTATAACCTCGTAAAATTTCCTTCTGTCGACCGCTTCTTTGTCTCGTTCGACCGATACCGAAATGGCGGCGACGCTGTAAAGATGAAACAGCCGCGCGAACGTGTAACGTCTGCCAGCCGGCGTAATTTCCCGTTATTCCGTGAAAAATATTTAACGTCGATCGATGCCACGCAGCTGACACGTGTGCTCAAACTCGGAATTTAATAAAGCAGACAGAAGAGGATATTCAAGCGTTGAGAAAGTTGCGCTAACGATCGCATCGGAACTTTTAATTATTTCCGATCTGAGAACTGTGTTTCTTCTAAAATCGACCTGGCTAATTTCGACGAGAAAGAAGCATCGAGAGAACGTTCACTTGTTGAAACCTGGACGCTCTTTCTCTCTGGAATGTTCACCGGAGAAACGCTAATAACGCCAATTTTGCAACACGTTGCATCTGTTCCGGTCGCAAAAATTACAAAAGCTGCAACTGCGACTACCTTGTTCCGGGAAATGTGTGATTTTTAATTGCTCGGTTGTACACGCGTGCATAGAAGATGAGAGCGGGTTTTTGTTTTCGGTAGTTCCGTATATAATATCGTTTATTTTTCGTTTCTTTTGTGTGCGTAGTTTTGCGCTTCTCCTTTTAGAACGTATTTCGTCTTGTTTCGGTGAGAGGAAAAGGTATTTAGAGAAACGTGTTTCCTCGTATGTTGAGACAGAGGTACCTTGCCTTTGGATTTATAATTGGATTCTTTCTGAATATTGTAGCTTTTCATTTAGACGTATCGTTCGAAGTTTAAGTTTATTAAGTTAGCGGTCAGCGTTGAAGAATGAATAACATTTTATGTCTGGCTATTTCTAACTGATATCTGAAATGTGGTAGTAAATATAAATTGTTATGACTTGCTTATGATTATTTAGTAACTATTTGTCCAATTATTATTTCTTACTTTCTAGAATTCGTACAAAATTTTTGCACTTCGTTTCAGAAATTGTTTACAGTATTTTACGTTTCGTGAATGTAATGTGGTTATAATTGGAGGATAGAAGTTTAGCTCAGAATGTTGAAAAAAAGGAAGGAGAAAATGGAAAGAATTGTGACAGGAAATAGGCAAAGAACTGCAGATAGTAAGGAATACATAGAAAACAGTAGATTTGGTAAGTAGGAGAAAAAATAAAAGAAAAAAGTTAAGTTAGGGGAATAAAGAAACAAGGAATGAAAATAGAAAACGAAATAAGTTAAGTTAGGTGAATAAAAAAGAAGGAATGAAGAGAATGAGTGAATGAATGGATTAAGTTATCAAAATAAGAAACAGACAGAAAAGAGTAAATTGATAAATGGAATAGTAAGAAAAGAAATAAGTTAAATTAAGTTAGGAGAATAAAACAAAAAGGAACGAGTGAATGAGGCGAATGAATGGATTAAGTTAGCAATATAAGAAATAGATAGAAAACAATAGATCGATAAGTAGGAGAGTGATAAAAGGAAAGTAAGTTAAATTAAGTTAGGGGAATAAGAAAAAGGAATGAAGGGAATGAGTGAACGAGGTGAAACAAATGGATCAATTTAACAATGTACATTCAAAATTAACGTAAACCAAATCGAAATTTCGTAACTGTGAGCCCGAAATAAACAATATACAGACATGTAAGTACTTATAATTAATTTCGACTCGCTTATCGATATCCTAGCACACGTAAATCTTGTTGCCTGAGCAAACTTACAAACCTCCCTACATTTCTTCCATCGACTATACTGAAATTTCGAGTCGAAAGTCGAGCCGGTGTCGTTGCGTTCGCGAAGAAAAGCTAAATTTATTAATGCAATTTCACGTGAGCGGTATACGCTAAGATTCTCTCCGCCACTTTCCATTATTCATTCGTCGCGTTTAGAATTCCTCGCGGCGAGTTTTCATACACGAAACTCACATGAGCTTGCAACAAAATCGCCGTTCGTGAACCGAATTCGAAGAGTAACGTTGAAGGGCGACGATACAACGAAGAGAGAATCGAGAACCTAGGAGAGAATGTTGCTCTATCGGGGCGATAGAGAGAGAGAGAGGAGGAGGAAGAGGATCGTAAAGCCGGGGTAACGGTCCACCACGTCGAAGACAGCCGCGCGAAAATCGAAGCTTCGTAAAGCTATTCAACGCTCGTTCAATCGCCGCATCGATCGGAAAGTTCATGGGGCGCGGAAGACGGAAACCGCGGGAGATCTTTGTCGCGAGACGACGTCATTGTAACGACTTCCATCGACATTCCTTTAAGCGTTGACGACGCGAATATCGCCGGCCGAAACGAACCTAGGCGAAAAATGCAGTTTTCGTGGCAACCTGAAAATTGGCTCTCCCGGCGAAGCATTATTAGAGAACATGGCGAATGCGTAAATAAGGATTTTTCTTGAAATTTGCAAGATTACAGGTTCGATGTTTACGTATGGAATTGGGAAACTTGAAGTAATCCCGCGTTTGAAATTCGAAAAAAATACCATTCAGTTTCCTGAACTTCGCCAGAGAGAACGTGCTTTCGAGAATAAATGGAGAGATTTCTGGAACATCGAGGAACAAAAGTTTACCGTGATGTGCGAAAGGAAGATGTTGTGCAGGCGCCACCGACATCCAAATGTACATACAGAGTGTAAAAAATGTATTGCCGCGACTTTATGGGGTGAATCTACACATCTGGACCGGTGGACATTTGTGAAAAAACACTTGCCGCGAAATTGTTTGTAGCAATGAAAATTACAGCAACGTATTCTGGTCGGCGAGAAGAGAAAAAGTGAAAGTTGAAAATTTTACTGTACTTGGGTATTCAAATATTCGGAATATTGCATTAGTGACTAATTCAGAGTGGACAACCTATATGCATATGGAATAAGTCAAATGCAACTGATACGTAAACGCGTAAGTGTATATACAATGCTGTTTAAATGAACCAGCAACAGAATTTTACTCGCCCAAATCCCTTCTACTCGTAATTCGATTCCTTTCCCTAGCTACAACAGCGTAATTCCATAAAGTAAACTACAAACAGATTCGCAAATTAGCGAGGATTATCGTATATTATCCTGTCACTCGTGGACAAACGTAGGTTTACTGTACGACCAAAACACAGTCATCACGATCAATTACTCCATTTGTTGCACCTTTTATTCTAATTTCACGAGATATAATTAGATACTTAAGAGTATTCTTTATCTCGAATTATATGTATATTTATGACCAAAGGAATAAGTAGTTAAACGAAGCTCAAAAGTAGAATCTAATATTAAAAGCAAAGAGAATTTTTCATGTTTCACTATTGTTACAAAGTTGGACTTTCCTTGTAAATTTCAAAACTGGCTTTGAGGTATAATGTACGAGTAGAAAATTTAAGAGGTGATTCTACAGGCCAGAACAAGACAAAAATCAAGAATGAAACAATTGCGTTTGAGGCTTCGTTTTTTAGTTATTAATAGTTAAAAATATCCCTGTTGTCGAGCAACCCTCCTGACACCAGCCAGTATGCGGCAGGTATACAGGGGCAGCGTAGTGATTCTCGAAATAAACGACCCATGGCCGGTAATCGAACGCTGAATTACTTTTGCGTTAATTGGATAAAAAGATACTTTACTTCGAAAAATTTACTACAATCTACTACGTGAATCGAGTGTCTGTTCTATGGTACGAGGGTGCATTACGGGAGAGTGTTCTCGGTGTATTACGACAGAGAGTTGTCTTACGAGAGTGCTATGTGTCACGAGAGTCCTCTGTGTAACGATCGAGAATGATGTGATTCGGGCGAATGCTCCTGAGCGTCCGAAAAATCGTAATTTTATGCAACATGCATAAGTGAAGCTATTTTCAGTTCTATCTTTCATGAATACAGACAAAATTTTTGTCAAATTTCAATACTTATTTTGATGAACTTAGAATACGTTTATATATTTCTAAACATTATTATTGTCTTGAATATATTTCGATCTCTGATCACGTTCAACAATGCGTTTGAATTGAAACTAACTTGAGCTACTTATCAATTGGTTGATAGTTATTGACTTATACTACTTGTTCCCGAGCTAACTTTAATAGTTGCCTGACGTGTGATGTATCTGTTCTACTTACAGTTGGACACTGAAGCAAATTACTATTATGTAAAGATACGTATATATATGCACATTAATGCTTCGATCTTCTACTCAATTTAAAGCTGAAGAAATTCTCTTCCGAAATATGTATATAGAATATTATTTATTATTGACTAACTTAGCAATAATTAATATTGAACTTTCATATTACGATTTTAATTTGTTCTCGCGCTCAGATTTATTCGAAAAAAATATTATTCAATTTTCTGAACTTTACCCCATAAAATGTGCTTTCGAAAATAAATAGGATTGTGGGAATATTGACGTTGTGCAGGCGCCATTGACGTTTAATTCTACATATTGCTGCCCATTCACGGTTCATAGAAGAATTTGTGAAACGATTCAAAGTTGTAATAAAACCCCCGAAACTTAATTAAGTGAAAATAATTTTTACCGTTCGTCAAGTTTTATTTTAAGTGATTTACATCCATAGAAAATATTGTAGCTTGTAACCTGTGCGTTCGCGAGTAGGAAGTTGGACTTAAAAATAATAGAGAACAACTATTACACATTTCTGTCAGTTGGAAATGGACAATCTATTTACAAATAGTCAGAGACTATGTACAAGTGTAAAGTTGGTTACACAATACTGTGGTGGAGGAATATTTGCTTTCGATCGGTTAGCTCTGGTCAGTTCGTTGAGCACAGAGTCGAGTGTTTAGTTGATGTTGTTGATCCTTTTGGATTTGAACTGCGATCTCTTTGATCTTCATTCAACTAACACGTGACTCGATATTTATATGTTTCGAACGGTTGAAGTTAGACAACGATCGATCATTTTCTATTTAGATAGGGAAAGTGTTTTTTCGAGGTAGATTTATCTGAAACGTAGAACCCTTTGATAAAACTATGCAAACGAAATCTACATTATAAATTAGTAATGAAGTTCGCAATTTTTCTGTCAGGGATACAATATTTTGGTGATTATTTTTTGCAAATTAGATTATAAATTGGTAATGAAATTCACAATTTTTCCGTCACGAAGAATGAATAATTTTCGGAAATGTCTTTCGAAGATAGATTGATTTAAGGATACAATATTTTGGTGGTTATTTTTTGCAAATCAGATTATAAATTATAAATTGGTAAATTGGTAATGAAATTCACAATTTTTCTGTCACGAAGAATGAATAATCTTGGGAAGTGTCTTTCGAAGGTAGATTCATTTAAGGATAGAATCGTTTGGTGGTTATTTTTCGCAAATCAGATTATAAATTATAAATTGGTAAATTGGTAATGAAATTCACAATTTTTCGGTCACGAAGAAGGAATAATCTTGGAAAGTGTCTTTCGAAGGTAGATTGATCTAAGAATATAACCCCTTGGTAGTCATTTTCCACAATTTTTCTGTCACAAAGAATGAATAATTTTAGAAAGTGTTTTTTAAAAATAGAACCCCTTGGTGATCATTTTTCCCAAACTAAATTCCAGATTAAAAATTGCCAACGAAGTTCAAAATTCTTCTGTTCCAAAGAACCACAACGTTTCGTCTCGTCTGATAATATTTGGACACTCTGTACATCAATCTACGTATCAGAAAAATCTCGTAGATACTCAAAGGTACTTACCAATCAGGTACCATTCCCCATTCGTGATGAAGTCGGACAAGTCGCCACCTTTCTCCGAGCTGAGCACTAGATCGACCTAGCAACGTCAAATTTCGATTAACACGGGCACACGTCTATATTCGGGGCTTTTCGCTAGGTCACACCAAGCGAGTACACATGCACGTGCCAGAGCTTTCACGTTACTCTTCATCTCTACGCTACAATTACGTCTACTTTCGCAGCCATACACATAGATCAACGGTGGTGACAGAACAGTGTTTGGTATTTGATAAATCGTGCAAGGAAAAGACACAAGGATGACGTGTCGTAAATGGTGTTTCGTATACTTGTCCTGGTGTACATATTTTTAGGGGTAATCGACAGTCTGAACATCGCATTTTCCATGGCAATCGGAGAAATTTCTTCTATTGCTATCTAAAATGAAGAGATTCGTGACGTTTCAAGAACCTTTTAATTCACGTATCCGCTAATTTTTCTCGAAGATCGCGAAGGAAACCTTTGCTTTAGCATATTTATGGACTCTTGAGGGAAATTGAAACGGATCGACCGGGTCCAACTTCTTTCATTCCGTTTTCACTTTGAAATTTCTACGCTTTTCGTGAATTCGGTTTCACCAAGTTCGGTTTCGGTTTACCGTTCTAATACCGCGATATTGTATCTATTCGTCGTTGATGAAACTGCTGCTCTAGCAGAATTTTAGAATATTTTTCGAGAAGCGTATGGGTAGCTGAATGCTTCCAATTTTACTTCTGATTCGATTTATCTTTTAATATTCATCTCATATGTGAGAATCGATATTTATGAATGTTATTGTTTCTCAAAGCGATTTGAATTTTTCGCTGCGTACACTATCCGTCGAAAATTTAGTATCACCTGCCAATTTACATTAATTTTGAGTCTGTTACTAATTCTTGACAGATTTGGAATTGGTGTTGCGGAGATAAATAGCAATTTGAATAATAAAAAATTCGTTAGAATATTCTTGAAAAAATTCTTGAAAAATTTCTTGAAAGAAATTCTTTACAAATTTCTTTAAAATATTCTTGAAGAAATTCTTGAAGAAATTCTTGAAAAATTTCTTGAAAAAAATTTTTTACAAATTTCTTTAAAATAAATTAAATTACAATATAACACTCTCGGTATATTTTGTCCAATTTAAATTTCATAAAAGTATATACTATTTATACTCGACAACTTTTATATATTAATTCACTGCCAAAAAAGTCCACAACTTTTTAATTATTTTTTGAAAAATTTGCTACAAAAGTGCAGGAAATTGGGTACTTTTTTATTTCTAACGAATTGCAAGAAAAATTGCCAGAAGCCCTACAAAATGTTCAGTAACTAAATTAAATTACAATATAACACTCTCGGTATATTTTGTCCAATTTAAATTTCATAAAAGTATATACTATTTATACTCGACAACTTTTATATATTAATTCACTGCCAAAAAAGTCCACAACTTTTTAATTATTTTTTGAAAAATTTGCTACAAAAGTGCAGGAAATTGGGTACTTTTTTATTTCTAACGAATTGCAAGAAAAATTGCCAGAAGCCCTACAAAATGTTCAGTAACTAAATTAAATTACAATATAACACTCTCGGTATATTTTGTCCAATTTAAATTTCATAAAAGTATATACTATTTATACTCGACAACTTTTATATATTAATTCACTGCCAAAAAAGTCCACAACTTTTTAATTATTTTTTGAAAAATTTGCTACAAAAGTGCAGGAAATTGGGTACTTTTTTATTTCTAACGAATTGCAAGAAAAATTGCCAGAAGCCCTACAAAATGTTCAGTAACTAAATTAAATTACAATATAACACTCTCGGTATATTTTGTCCAATTTAAATTTCATAAAAGTATATACTATTTATACTCGACAACTTTTATATATTAATTCACTGCCAAAAAAGTCCACAACTTTTTAATTATTTTTTGAAAAATTTGCTACAAAAGTGCAGGAAATTGGGTACTTTTTTATTTCTAACGAATTGCAAGAAAAATTGCCAGAAGCCCTACAAAATGTTCAGTAACTAAATTAAATTACAATATAACACTCTCGGTATATTTTGTCCAATTTAAATTTCATAAAAGTATATACTATTTATACTCGACAACTTTTATATATTAATTCACTGCCAAAAAAGTCCACAACTTTTTAATTATTTTTTGAAAAATTTGCTACAAAAGTGCAGGAAATTGGGTACTTTTTTATTTCTAACGAATTGCAAGAAAAATTGCCAGAAGCCCTACAAAATGTTCAGTAACTAAATTAAATTACAATATAACACTCTCGGTATATTTTGTCCAATTTAAATTTCATAAAAGTATATACTATTTATACTCGACAACTTTTATATATTAATTCACTGCCAAAAAAGTCCACAACTTTTTAATTATTTTTTGAAAAATTTGCTACAAAAGTGCAGGAAATTGGGTACTTTTTTATTTCTAACGAATTGCAAGAAAAATTGCCAGAAGCCCTACAAAATGTTCAGTAACTAAATTAAATTACAATATAACACTCTCGGTATATTTTGTCCAATTTAAATTTCATAAAAGTATATACTATTTATACTCGACAACTTTTATATATTAATTCACTGCCAAAAAAGTCCACAACTTTTTAATTATTTTTTGAAAAATTTGCTACAAAAGTGCAGGAAATTGGGTACTTTTTTATTTCTAACGAATTGCAAGAAAAATTGCCAGAAGCCCTACAAAATGTTCAGTAACTAAATTAAATTACAATATAACACTCTCGGTATATTTTTTTCAATCTAAATTTCACCGAAATATTATATATTCTCATGAGCAGAGTGAAAGAAATAATTCTAACTTAATAGAAAATTGTAGAATAATTTCATTTTCCGATAAAAAAAAGAAAATGTCCAAAATTAATATTATCATCGAAGTGTCGAAAATTAGTAAAAGTGATTTGATTTTATCTGGAAATTTTCTCTGTCCAACGTTCGGAAGTCACGAGTGGTATTGTTAGGAGCATTCTCTATATTATTATTTCCCTTTTTCGCGTAGCTGGAATTTCCACTTTTTTCGGTGATAATTCCAGGATTTCCTTTTGCATAGCGTTGCTCACGGACTTGGAACTCGCGGAGCATTACGGCGGATGCACGTGGTTCCGAACGCTAGTCTCTCATAATTCATCGTGAGACGTATATTTCATGGATGCGGCTCGATTCGAGCGTTTATTCCCTGGGGATTGTGGCTTAGCCTCTGCTTGCTGCAGTGAGACTAATCGTCGGATATCAATTGCACGTACGTGCATTGATATTTTATACTTAAGTGGAGTTACGTATTGTGAGATCAACGGTACACATCTGCAGCGATATTACGCAATGCTTGTGTGTTTCGCAAAGGAACGATGTGTACGGTGCTCGTGAAAAAGGTATTTCAATTGATAATTCGTCGAATTTAAATTAACGCACAAATTTGAATTTAACCCTTCGCACTCTTTTGTCGAGTCACACTCGACATTTTTAAATTGCCAGTTTAAATATGTACCATATTTTGCAGTACTTTTTACTTTTTCGTAACAAAAAAGAAAGTCCAATTATTACAGAAAAGTGTCATATACGGTGACTCTTACTAACATTCGGACACTCTTTAGAACGGTACAACTTTTTTAAAATTGGACTTAACGACTTGAGTTTTCTCGAGAAGTTAGGATTAGTATACTAGATGACGCGTGTAAAATTTTTTGCAAAAATTGCAATTTGTGGAAATCGCGAAGAAAATTGTAAATTCGATAACTTTTTTATCAGAGCCCGTAATGAAAATTGAAAAAATACGTTTTGTAGATTTATGCCAATTGTACGCATGCTGAAAGTTTTATCGAAATCGGTTAATGTTACTACGAGCTACAGATCGTTAAAAATTGTGAAAATCGCACTGTTTCACGACGTTCGGCCTATAATTGTAGTAAATCTGAAGATTCCTACATCTTTCGATGCCTGTCGCTTGTTTCTCCATCTACCGATTTCGATGAAATTTTCAGCACGTGTATAATTGACATAAATCTACAAAACGTGTGTTTTAAATTTCCGTTACAAGCTCAGGTAAAAAAGTTGCAAACAGTGACCTTTACAATTTTCTTCATTTTCGAAAAATTTTACACACATCTAGTATACTAATCTTTCTAACTTCTCAAAAATCTCAAGCCGTTTGATCCAATTTAGAAAAAGTTATACTGTTCTAAATAGTGTCCGAATATTAGTAAGAGTCACTGTATTTCTTTATTTCAACAAGTGCCTCTGTACACTTGGATAAAAGCGTCTTGATAATTTCTGTAATTTAAAGGGAGAAATCTGAAGTTCGTCATTCTGATGGGTTTCGTTGTTTAACGTCGTTTTAGAAAAAAAAAGTACCTTTGTTCCATATCGCTGCATTTCTCCTGATATTACCTACAGTGTCGCGTAGAAAAAATTATGCGATCTCGTTCAAAAATTGATCTCGATTTATTATCGAGCAAAAGTGTTTTTGCAGCTTGTCGACGATCGAGCATTAATTAATTCTCGTTTGTAACGCTTTTCTGTTTATTTGACTGCTTGAAGTGTCTCAAAAATCGTCGCGCCGACTGTTACCCTGAACACCCGGTATATTCAAGAAACTAGATGAAACGCTACTGCGGCATGAATTGAAATTTTCGAGTGAAACCGAGGAATAACGAAAAGTTCAACATCGATAAGCTTCGAGTGCCACAAACAATGGAATTCCTTCACACCGAGACCACATTTTCGCAGAATTAAAAATTTTCAAATTCCCCCTCTCGTATCTCGAACGCGCGAAAGCTCCGGCATTTGCCAAGAAACGTGGGAAAAAAGGTTCTTAGAAACGTCGCCGCGCGATATCTCATTTAGCAGAACACGTCCATCTCTCGAATTGTCATTCACCATCAGCCGACAAGAATGCGCGTGGATTCAGATCTGTCTGAAATTTATCGGTCCATGCACGATTGACAATTAATCCCGAACCGGTGACAGCCGACTCGAGCCGAGCGAGCCGCGCGCGATTCACGTTGCTCAATGCGACCATTTTTGTTCGGA